ATATATTTTTTTTTTTATTTTTATTTTGATAAGTGCTTTCTACTAATATAGTTGTCTCTTCTTTTCTTCTTGTTAAAATCAAGCGATATAAGGTGTGTTTGTTTCATAACTCAAGTTAAGAATTTAAATTGTTTATATGAAAGAAAAATATTGTAATAAAAAAGTTAAATTTAAATTTTTATAAGAGAAGATACTGTATTAATAAAATTTGAGTTGTGATTTAAGTCGTGAAAAGAATAACACTGTACAATCTCAAAGAGGTCCATGCATGTGAAAACAAATAGCAGACTCTGGATTTGACTTCTATGTCCTTTGAATTTTGATTGGTACTACACGCATGGAATGTTGGACTATGCTTCTTTCGGAGGTTGTACGAAATTCTTACTTTACTAGTACTGTAAGGTGGTTCTGTTTCATAGCAGAGAAAGGGGCAAAAAGAGTAACGGTTTTACTGGACGTTTAGTTGACAGATTCAGAATCATTCCTGATTTACGTGTATTTTTTATGAAAAAAAATACTGTAACAAACCATAAATTATGATTCAAACCATATCACGAATCTTCACACCAAACACCCTTTTCAGTACGGATGCCGAGTTAGGATTGCAAATACGGCTTTGGCAATAATTTTGTTTGATAAATCGTGTAGAGAGAATAGCTAGACAAATTTGTCCAACATAGTCAGTCAGACTTCCTTTTTCAATTAATCTTTAGCAAAATGAACAGAGAAAATGGTTCTCTTACCCAACGAAAACAACAGCACGAGTGAGAAGAAAATAGAGATCAGGAAGAGGAAGAGAATTCTTTGGTAATGGTAAGACGGGCAAATTGGGGAGGGAAAAAGCGCAAAAAAGAAAAGCAAAAGAACCGGAGAAAGAAAATATGACAAGAACTTATAGAACAAGAAATTATACATTTTGCATTTGAACAATCACGTTAACAATATTGAACAGTAGGCGACCAAAACCATTACAGTTGTACAAATTTTCTTTTGCATTTCAACAATCACACAAACAATAACAAACCAACTACAGGGTAAACAACACTCGGTGGAATACGTGAGTTATGAAACTAGAAGAAAAATATGTCAAGCGGAAGCAGCGCTCACGTTGTTATCTTTATTTTTTATTTTATTATTATTATTATTATTTATTTATTTTTATTTTTATTTTTTTTGCTATCAAACCGTAAAATCTGGGCTTTTAAAACCCAACTCTATATATATTTTCTCACGTTTGTTACAAAATCAATATTACAAGGTAAAGATAAGCTGAATTGCTTTGTAACAGAAACAACACCACTAACAACTAGAAATAACCAGCAGGAACAACAGGCTGAAGTCCCCAGATGAAAACTTTTGGCCTATCCTCAATCTTTACACTTGACAGTTTGGCAACTATAGTGCACAATCTCCATCTAACAATACAATCAGATGTGGTGGTGTGTTAACTTCCTATCACTGAAATGAAACATCATTACTTATTACTCCTAGAGAGCAAAACGAAAAGTACAACGCGTGTGTGTAAGCTTGCTTAGAATGTGAAATTGCCACAGAATCAGTATCTTTTTTTTTAATAAGAAACGAGAGAATATTATTAATGAATAATGGAAAGAAAAGCACAATAGGGGACAAGGAATCCACCAAAGAAGGAAATAGCTAATGAAGGACTATATCCCATCCTCTAAGTAAATTTGAAAAAGAGACTTAAAGCCTTTAACTTGAGATAACTACAATGCCACATTAAATTTAATTATATCCCACACTGCATTAACATCCCCATCTAAATCCTCAAAAATACTGCCATTCCTTTCTAGCCAAATAGCCCATGTGATGGAAAGTGTTGCTACCTTCCAAACCTTCATTCGTCTGCTGTTGAAAGAGTAACCATTGAATAAATCTGCAATTGTTCTAGGAATCACCTAAGATACTCCAAACTCTTTTAGAAGTCGATACCAAATGCATAGTAAAAAGGAAAAATGTAGAAAAATATGATCCAAAGTTTCACCATTTGATTTACATAGCACATACTAACAACCACCACCACCAACAACAACAACAAGCCTTAATTCTATCTTAATTAGGGTCGGCTATATGGATTTATGTTGAAATCCCGAATTTTAGGCTTAGAATCAGCTTCTTGATTTAGGATAAGTTGTTTCCTGATTTGATTTGATTCAGTAGATAACTGTCCTAACTCTAGGCCACGACATTAGGAGATTTGATTTTCATAATTGTATTATAAATAGAAGCCTTATGTATAGAATATTCGTTGAATAAAAAAACAGAAAGCATTATTCCTGCTTTCATGGTATCAGAGTCGAGGAACCTCTAACCTTGGCATTCAATGGTGGATTCAATGTCCTCAGAGACCACGGGCGAAACGGAGACGGTGGTCACCAACACCGTGACGTCGAGTGGGTTTGAGAATTCCACTTTCCAGTTCACGGTTGAGAAACTCAACGGGAAGAATTTTCTCGAATGGGCTCAATCAATCAAACTGGTGATCGATGGAAAAGGCAAGTTGGGATATCTCACCGGTGAAACCAAGAAGCCATCCTCTACCGATGCCTCCTTTCAGAAGTGGAAGTCAGAAAATTCAACGGTAACCACGTGGCTGGTCAACTCGATGAAGCCCTCAATCGGAAAAACCTATATGTTTCTTCCTACTGCAAAGGATGTCTAGGATGCCGTGAGAGAGACATACTCTGATGTGGAAAAATCTTCCCAAATATTCGAGATTAAGCGTGCATTTGGAAGGGAGATTCGTGCTATGGTTCGAATCATGGTTTGTGGTTCGCTACAGTATTTTCTCTCACAAAAGATACACGTAAAACGAAAATAATTCTAAATCATAGTTCTGAATCCATGAACCAAACGTCCACTAAGACTCGGTTATGGCAAATGAAAGAAAAGGAAAGGGAAGTGACCGAATACTACACAGAGATGAAGGCTCTTTGGCAAGAACTCGATCTGAGTTACGAAGAAGATTGGGAATGCCCTGGAGACAACGTGAGATTTAAGAAGAGGCTGGAGAATGAGTGTTTGAATTTATGGCTGGGCTCAACTGAGAATTAGATGAGGTGAGAGGGAGAATCCTAGGCCGAAGACCGTTGCCCTCAATCTGTGAAGTTTTTTCAGAGGTAAGACGAGAAGAGAATAGGCGCAAGGTGATGGGGAAACTCTCTGCCTCCACTGTGCCGAATGGTTCTGGACCAGAAATGTTTGCACTGATGACAAAAAAAAGACCGAATGGACCAGGCCAGAGTCAGCAAAGGAAAAAACCTTGGTGTGAGCACTGTCACAAGACCGGTCACACTAAGGATACATGTTGGGAATTGCACGGGAAACCACCAGATTGGAAGCCACGGCAGATGAACAAAAATCGAGGATATCAAGCTTCGGTTGATGATCAGAAGGAGAGGAAAACAGATGTTGATAGCAGCGAGTCTCAAGCAAAAACTTCATTCAGTCAGGAACAGATGGAACAGCTTCACTAAATGTTCCCAAACTTCAAATCTACTTGTCAGTCCTCCAATAACGTGTCTATTGGTTCTCTAGCCCACAGAGGTAACTTTTTAAAGGCCCTAAATACTGTTTCCCAACACAGAATTTCCTGGATTATCGATTCTGGCGCATCGGACCATATGACAAGCAATTACCATATTTTTTCCACACTCACCTTGTGCCGGCAATGTCAAAGTAAAAATTGCAGATGGTTCTCTCTCGACAGTTACAGGAAAAGGGACAATTAAAATCTCTGATCCTGTAACCCTAGAATCTGTTCTTCATGCCCCAAACCTATATTGCAATTTATTATCAATCAGCCAATTGACAAAAACCTCCAACTGTTGTGCTAAATTTTTTCCTTCTCACTGTGTGTTTCAGGACCTATCATCGGGGAGGACGATTGGCAGTGCTAAAGAATGTGGGGGACTCTACTATCTAGATGAGGCCGAGGCAAGTGGACAGCTTCAAACTACAATTTGCGATTCTGCATCTACTTTAAAGGATAGTGAAATAATGTTATGGCATTTTAGAATGGACCATCCTAGTTTCCAGTACATGAAACACTTATTTCCTTCAATTTTTTCCAATAAAAGTATCTTTGATTTTCAGTGTGAGATTTGCCAGCTTGCTAAACATCAACATTCTTCATTTAAAAAATCAAAGTACCAACCTTCTAAACCTTTTACTATGATTCACAGTGATCTATGAGGTCCTTCTCGTATATCTACTCGTACTCACACAAAATGGTTCATGACGTTTATTGATGATCACACTAGGGTTTGTTGGGTTTACCTCCTAAAAGACAAAACAGATGTCCGTGAAGTGTTTAAAACTTTTTACTCCATGGTCCAAACGCAATTTCAAACTAAAATCCAAATTTTGCGTACAGATAATGGGACGGAGTATTTTAACACTATCTTAGGAGAATTTCTCGTGTCAAATGGGATTATTCACCAGAGTTCATGTGTCGACACTCCACAACAAAATGGAGTTGCCGAACAGAAAACAAACACTTGCTTGAGGTAGCCCAAGCCTTGATGTTCACTACCCACATGCCAAAAATGTTCTGGGGGGATGCCATTTTGACATTCGCCTATCTTATCAATAGAATGCCCAATCGAGTCTTTTCGTTTGACACTCCACTCAATACTCTTAAGAAAGTCTTCCCCACTACTCATTTACACTCAAATTTACCTCTTAAGGCGTTTGGCTACACCGCATTCGTCCATGTTCACTCTCAAAACTGAAGCTAGCTAGATCCTAGAGCCACTAAGTGTGTTTTCATTGGCTATTCTCCTACACAAAAGGGCTACAAATGCATTGATCCTTCCACAAAAAGGGTATTTGTTAGTCTTGATGTTACATTCTTTGAAAACACTCATTTCTTCCAAAAAAACTTCTCTTCAGGGGGAGATTTCTAATGAAGATCGTTTTGTGGATTTTGAACTTCTTCCTTCTGAGTCTGTCTCAAATACCGAAAACACCACCCTTCCTCCTTCTCATTCTAATATGCCATATACAGAAGGACACTTGAACTCAGGGGGAGATGTGGGAACGCAAAGGAACAGGGAATGACTAGTCTACTCAAGGAGGCCAAAGTTGAAAAAACAAGAAAACCTCACTTCTGAAGCACCAAGAGAGTCTAACCCGGTGATAGATCCAGAAGTGAATGAGTCAATCACAGAAAAAGGTACCCCTAATACTTCTGAAATTGCTGATATTGATCTTCCCATAGCTCACCGCAAAAAACCTAGTTCATGTACACTTCATCCCATCTCCAAGTTTCTGTCACACAACAACTTATCTCTTAGTTTTCGAGCGTTTGTCTCTAACCTCAATAGTGCAGAAATTCTGAAGGATATACAGGAGGCACTAGCCGTGCCTGAGTGGAGGAATGCAATCATGGAAGAAATGAGAGCCTTGAAGAAAAATGAGACTTGGGAGGTAATGGAGCTGCCGAGAGGGAAGAAGCCAATAGGTTGCAAGTGGGTGTTTACCCTTAAATACAGAGCCGATGGAACGATAGAACGATACAAAGCTCGTCTTGTTGCCAAGAGTTTTACGCAAACTTATGGCATCGATTACGCCGAAACATTCGCTCCTGTGGCAAAGCTAAATACAATTAGGGTCCTCCTATCATTGGCATCTAATTTGGATTGGCCACTTCACCAACCTGACATAAAGAATGCTTTCTTGAATGGAGAATTAGAAGAGGAAGTCTACATGGAATTACCTCCGCGATTTAGTAAAGGGCAGGAAGACAAGCGAGTGTGTAAACTTAAGAGGTCACTTTATGGTCTCAAGCAGTCCCCAAGAACATGGTTTGACAGGTTTGCCAGAGAAATAAAGAACCAAGGATATCTACAGGGACAATCAGATCATACTATGTTCTTCAAACAAGCCAAAGATGGGAATAAGACAATCCTAATAGTCTATGTTGATGATATAATCCTTACCGGTGATAATGAGGCAGAAATGGAAAAGTTGAAGAGGATTCTCGCCACAATTTGAAGTAAAAGATCTGGGGCAAATTAGGTATTTCTTGGGAATGGAAGTTGCTAGATCAAAGAAAGGAATCAGTGTCTCCCAAAGGAAATATGTCCTTGATCGTCTCACAGAGACCGGTATGCTTGGATGCAAACCAAGTGACACCCCAATTGAAGCAGGAAAGAAGACTGAAGATGCTGGGAAGTTGGTTGACAAAGATAGATATCGGAGACTAGTAGGCAAACTAATATACTTGTCTCATACCAGACCCGACATTGCATTTGCAGTAAGTGTGGTAAGCCAACACATGCACTCACTAAAGGAAGCTCATCTGGAGGCAGTTTACAAGATACTCAGATATCTCAAAGGCTCACCTGACAGAGGACTATTCTTCAAAAAAACCGACTGCAAAGGAATAAAAGTCTAGATAGATGCAGACTGGACAGGCTCGATTGAAGACAGAAGGTCCACTTCAGGATATTGTACTTTTGTATGGGGGAACCTATTAACCTGGAGGAGCAAGAAGCAGAATGTGGCTTAAAGCAGTGCCGAAGCAGAGTTTAGATCAGTTGCTCAAGGAATATGTGAAGCACTATGGCTGAAGAAACTCCTAGAAGAACTTCAAGTCACAGTAGAGTTCCCAGTTAAACTCTACTGTAATAACAAAGCAGCAATTAACATATCTCTTAATCCTGTCCAATATGACAGAACCAAGCATGTGGAAGTTGATAGACATTTCATCAAAGATATCGGATTTGGTAGGATTTCTAGAGTAAATTAGGATATTTTATTTATGGAAATAAACCAGAATTAGCTGGAAGTTTCCATCCCTGATTTCTAGGGGAGAATTAGCTAATTTTGGGTACCTATAATGGCTAATTTTGTGGGCCTTTCTCTACTATA